CGGTTCACGTTGTGGCAACGGACACCAGCCGTGTAGGTGGAGGCTAGGAGAGGCGCGGCTGCTGCTCTCCCTCTTCCTGCTTTGACTAAACTCAAAAAGTTTCTAGCCCATGACTGAATTACTGCTCCACTCCGTACCTTGCAGCGATTACAGAATTCAGCAGATGATCAGTGCATGCGTAACAACAGGTGGTTATAGGAAAAGCGTGCCGGAGGCTGGTGTTCTGTTATTTGTGAAAACTAACACCGAGCTGACATACGTATTTTCTAGGTGTTAAGAGGCTTTTGATAGGAGTCCATCTAAGCTTAAAATTTGTGGGTAGCTTGTTCTATAGGAGGTGAAATGGATTTTATTGCCCTTCATGTAACAGACACACCTCTTGATCCCTCGGAAAATGTGCAATATTAAATCTAAATAAAAAAGTTAACTTTTATATCTAAAAACATCCTTTAGAAAGCACTGTTTAGTTGGTACAGCTATGCTTTTGAAACTTACGAAACAGCAGAATTGATCATGCTTGTGCAATCTGAATTCAGATCCCCTGCGTGCGCGTGACAGTGCCGTCTTTAGTTGCGTGGTTGCGTGCTGGCTTCCCACAGGCTCTGTTGCACTTGGTGCGTGGGGCGATCGGCGCCCGGCTGCTGAGGGAAGCCGTGGTGGTTTCGCTCCATCCTCCCTGTGCAACGTGCAGCCCAGCTATCCCAAGCTGACCCCTGCTTCACGCCGCACGTCGTTTCTCTGAAAAGCTGCAGCAGCTCCCACCCCTCTGAAGTCCGCACCAAGGGCCAGAAGGTGCACCCTCCATCCCCTGCCTCCCCACCCAATACGTATGTGGGGGATTATTTTATGGCTGGGCCAGGTCGGGTGGCCCAGCTAGCGGGGCAGGGGACGAAGTGCCTGGGATGGGAGCTGCTGAGCAAAAAGAGGTGTTGGCAGAGCCCCGGCCTCCGGCTGCAGCCGGCGGAGGGCCGTGCGGCGAGGGATGAAGCGCCAGGGCGTGGGGCAAGGCAACCGCAGCCGCCTTCACGCCATGCGCAGCCCCGTTCGCTGCTCGCAGTCCATAGCTGGTGGCAGATGTAACACCCAACTACTTCACAAATGCTGCAACTTCATCGTCTCCTTCTGAGCCAGAGATAGGAGTAATCTCACTGCACGGATTAAGAAACTTGAAGAAAAAGAGGTTTGCGAGTTAGCACTGGGCAAAGTTTAAGCCTGCATTTCCTGCTTGCTTAGTGTTTTACTTTGCAACCTAACTAACAGCTTTAAGTATAATTTCTTAGGGTGTTTTTAAGGCAGATGTTTGTTTTATTTGCAAGTGTCATTACTCCCACTTTGTAACTCGTCTTCCGAGCCAGAAACTTTTTTGGATCAGCAAAAAAATGAATTCCATCATTTTTCCTATGGACAAAAGCTATTACCGCAGCAGGGAGAAGTGAGTCCTGATGCCCTTACGCTCCCCTGCGTTGAGGGCTGGGGAGAGCTTGTCCTCTTCCTCCTCACACAGAAGTGGCGGACACCCACGACGGGGAATGCCCAGGGCTAGGAAAGCTGGGGTGGAGTTGGCTGCTGCTCAGCGTGCTGAGCCCGCGGTGGTCACGGCGGAAGAAAACCCGACGTGGCTCCCGTCCCTCCTCTGCTCTTCAGAGCTGCCCGGGCAGGCGGGCTGCCCCCTCTGAGGTCCTCTTCGGACTCCGTGTTTCTGCCGCCCTGACACAGGGGCGGGCAATGGTCTCCTGTTTGTGTTGAGCTATTATTTTCGCCTGGGGCTGGGGCTTTTTACTGACCGTGCAAGCAAGCACAGGGGACGAGTAACTTGTCAACAGCGAGTCGCTTGCTGGGACCTCGGTGTGGTTTTATTGCGGCTTCACTGGAAATTTAGGCTGGGTGACTGACACCTGGGTCAGCAACATGGGTGAATATAGCTCAGGTGACTTAGCCAGTGTCCTGTGTGCAGAGCAGGTGGGTTACCGAAATAGCTGAAGGAAAACCCGGACTTCCCATTCGCCACAAAATGCCAGCGTGTATGCATGTGGGTGGTGGTGGAGGTTGTTCTTGGGTTTTGGAAAGAAACGAGAAACAACATTTTTTAAGTCTCTCTCGGAAGGGGGGAAGCCAGCAAAGGGGAAACCTGGAAAAGATAACCATCAAAATCCAAACATAATGGAGCCTGGGAGTTCCAGCTCTCATCTCCCCTCTGTTTTCGTGTCTCGGCCACCATAGGAGACTGAGAGGGAGCCAGGATCGCCAGGGCTTTGGGACGGCTCGTCACAGAGCCAGAGACTCAGACTCAGGGGAAGCTGGTGACAACCGCATCCCCCACGTCTCTCCCGGCCCGGAGGGAGGGAGGCCAGGAAGCCCCGGCTGGAGCCACACGCTCTCAGGACTCCCTGACTCGCGGCCAGAGCCGGGCTTTGGCTGGGCGTCAGCCCCTCTGAAGCCGCCGGAGGTCCTGGAGCCTCCAGCTCCGAGGCAGTCGCCACACTGGGCTGGCTGGCACCCGAGCAGGTATGCTGCTCGCTCGTCGCCGATGGTCTGCCCAGCATTTGTTCCTCAGGAGTTCTCTCAGGCTGCGGCGTTTCCACAAGTCGCTTGGTCGTAGGGGACCTGGCAGGAAAAAAGCTGCTAGGAACCAGTGCTTGCTGAGATGAGTCCCCGATCCCTCGCGCACACCAGTCTGCTGGCTGAGCTGGTGTGTCTCTCGGGCTTTGTACAGCCTCGGACGAGCAAGGCAGCCTGCGTCAAAATCGCCGTCGTGATTTGGCGAGAAAGGATATGTAGCAGGCAGAGGATTTGGGGCAGCATCTGTAAATGTGCCCAAGTTAATTCCACAGTGTGGGCATGCAGGGGCAGAAAGGCTCTTTTCTTGCTTGGAAGTTGATAAAAGTGAAAACGACTGTCTGAAGGTGCTAGCATGTTTCAGAAAGATGAAAATTATTTCATGCCAGAGGGCGTGAGGCCTAATGCAAGTGCTGCTGCCACGTTCCTCCATAATAAGGGCATTTGATCTTTACTAACACACATCACAGTCACACATACCTGAAAATTTTCACTGAAAGCAAGAGGAAAAAACCACCATGCAAGCTTGGGAGTGGATAGGACATTATTCCCCCAAGGAGACTAGTTTTAAACTGAAATAGGAAAATTCCAAAAATTGGAATAGGTTTTTGTAGTTGACAGGCTGCAACTTAAGCAGTAGATTTGATGCTAGAGCCTTTTAGAAAGGGAATATCTTTTCATGTGCATTTAATAAGGATTTTTTTTTTTTTTCAAATGCTTTTTTGTCCCAAGCCTGTGGACAAGTTGCTGTTTGTTGAAATACTTCATGGACCATATGACTGTCAGTCTTCCATCTCCAAATTAGCAATGGCATTGCATAAAACGTTTTCTCAGTAAAGCTTTTTATTGTGTGTGTGCAGAGTCATGACAAGATGTTTCTGGTTTGTAGCTAAGTAACACCATATGTCATATTGTCTTAATGACTGTGAAGTAGATGGGACCCCGGCAGCAGTTACGACGGCTGTCTCACAGTGTCACAGCGGTTGGAGAGCGTTGCTAGGAGTGCCAGTGTCGGGGAGGGAAGGCAGGGCAGTCCACGCGAGCTCTCTGATCTCCGGCCCGTTGCTGTCTGTGGGTACGCGTCTGGCTCACGCGCGCGCGCAGGGTCAGTGCTGCGCCGCAGCAGCGTGCCGAGGAATTCCGGGAGAGGCATCGCATGTCTTTTTAAGTATCACCAGTACTTACGGGCTTAATTCTTTTCATTTGTATATAGTCTGCGAAAACAACCGCGGCCTATTGCGTTACAGGGATGGTCACGCAGATCGTTTACAGAGCAGAGAACAGACTTTTCGCGTTTCAAACCTTAACCCGTGGACGGGAGATCTGGCGGCGGCGCGAGGACCGGATTGGCCGTGTCGCCTAACGTCCCTCGACGCTCAACGCACCTTTTGCCCTCCCCTTGCAGGTTATTTTGACGCTCATTCCCTGGCCATGGATTTCATGAGCATCGGCTTCCGGGAGTGCCTGACAGAGGTGGCGAGGTACCTGACTTCGGTGGAAGGTCTCGACACATCTGACCCCCTGCGCGTGAGACTGGTGTCCCACCTGAGCACCTGCGCCTCTCAGAG